TTTTTATTTTGTTTATTTATTTTAATTTTGTTTTTTCCATACAGTGTTTTTCTGTATAGCTGTTCTGGAACTCTCTCTGTAGACCAGGCTGGCCTTGAACTCACAGAGATCCACCTGCCTCTGCCTTCTGAGTGCTGGGATTAAAGGTGTGCACTACCAAGCTTTTTTTCCCCTAGATTTACTTATTTTATGTGTTTGAATTTTTTGCTTTTGTGTGTGTATGTGCACCCTGTATGTGCCTGACCCAAGGAGGTCAGAAGAGGGCATCAGATCCCCTGGGTCTGGAGTTATAGAGGGTTTTGAATCTCCATGGAGATGCTGGGGACTGAATCTGAGTCCTCTGAAGAGCAGATAATGCTCTTAATCCCTGAGCCGTCTCTCCAGCCCCAAACATTGGCTTTACTTCTGCTTTTTTGTGATGTATTTAGGGCTCTTTTATTGCTGTTTGTGCATTCTTCCCTGAGCTCTGTGGTCTGCTGGGTTTCTCTTCTGATTCAACTCTGGTACCCAGTTCAGCTCATCAGAATGCAGCCTTGCTTCCCTCAGGATATCCTTGGCCATATGAATTTCCCTTCCAAGTTGCCTAGAGAATTTCTGCTCTGCCAACTCCTGATGGCAGCATGCCATGACCTGGGCTGATGTTGACAGGAGCTTTTTTCCTTCTTTTCCCAGTTAGGTGTGGCAGATGGTGTGTGGCTGCTTTTTCCACTGCCATGGCCTGGCATATCCTTTCCAGTCTGTTTTTATTATATTATATGGTTCATATTGTGTCATTTGCAATTTTGTATTTTGTTCTTTTCATTTACTATACATTTTCTGACTTTGGTATTTCATTAAATGACTATACCTACCGTACCTAATAATTTCATTTCATGCTTTTTCTCCTCCCTCACCCTCCTTCTCTCCTCTCCTTTACTCTCTTCTTTCTTACAAGATCTTGTGTTGCCCAGTTGGGCTTGAACTCCTAGGCTGAAGTGGTCTCTTAGCCTCGTGAGTAGCTGAATTGGCAGCGCATACCCTGTGCCTGGCGGTAGTTTCATTTAAAAATCAGGTGATGATACTGGTCAAGACTTGTGGGCTTCAAGAACTGTTCAGATTCTTCCCCTTCCTGCATTGATGTTCTGTGGCTTGAAATGGGTGTATTTGGATCTTGAGGAAAATCTTCAAACAAAAGTTTCTACTTACAGTAAAATTTGACCCAGATTTCTTTTTCCCTTTTTCTCATTTGTCTCATCGAACTTAGTATTTTCTTTTTTTAGAGGTATATAGTAGGACACAGCTTGGGGCTTTAAGTTACTGTTTGTTCTTTAATATCAAAATTAGGGAAAATTAAGCTAGACAAGGTGGTGGTGGCCCACTCTTGCATTCCAACACTTGGGAGACAAAGGAAGAGGATAGAGAGTTGAGACTGTCTCAGTAAACAACAGTAAAACTAGGAAAGGTAAAATACGTAAGAATTACTGGGTCTTTTCCTTATTTATGATTTTATTTTTTCCCCTTTATTTTTGGATTATTATTGCTTAATTCAGACATTTTTGAGTAAATGACAGTCATTTTTTCTCTTTGGATAGCAAGCATTAAAAGTAGCCATTCTCTTGAAAAACCTAAATAAACAAATGGAGCCACAGAGGCTTGACATGATGGCATAGCAAACGCCTTTAATTCAAGTACCTGGCAGTGTGTGGCAGCTGGATCACTGTGAGAGTTCCAGGTCAGCCTTGGCAACATAACAAATTCTAGATTTGCCTTGGCCTGGGCTGGCTATATAGTGAGACCTTGTCCTTTTCCCTCTTCCTGTCCTTGATAAGTAAGTAAGTTAAGTAAATAAATAAATGTAACCTTGGCATCAGATGGTTTCCCCCTTAGTGCTCAAATGAAGGTAATAATGTATGGGCTATGTTTATGAAAACTGATAAACTAAAACTCCACGTAACTAAATCCCAAAAGATTCAGTATTGTTGAAAGCTGGTGTTAACACTAGTTAGTTTGTGTGTAGCAGGGAGGGGTATGACCTGGAAGTCAGTAAGCATGGAACTTGATGAGAATGATAAAGTTAGCAGTGACTTCTAGTGTTTTGTAGCTACAGAGTGACTTGATCTCTGTATTTTTTTCTTTTTGCGGGGGTTGATGTGGGCTTTGAGACAGGGTTTCTCTGTGTCGCCTTGGCTGTCCTGGAACTTGCCCTATAGACCAGGCTGGCCTCGGACTCAGATTTGCTTGCCTCTGCCTCCTGAGTGCTGAGATTAAAGGTGTGTGCCACCACTGCCTGGCAATCTCTGTATTTCTTTCTTTAACCAATAAATACTTTCGATTTTATTATTTATTTTTTCTTAAAAAAAGATTTATTTATTATGTATACAGCATGTATGACTGCAGGCCAGAAGAGGGCACCAGATCCCATTACAGATGGTTGTGAGCCACCATGGTGTTGCTGGGAATGGAACTCAGGACCTCTGGAAGAGCAGTCAGTGCTCTTAACCTCTGAGCCATCTCTCCAGCCCAATACTTTCAATTTTTTTTTTTTT